TTTGCTCCCCAAAATATTTTGTCAAGTGCATTGTGTTTGGTGTACATTTAGACAAAAAGTTGCAACTTTTTGTGCTCGTTCTTGATCTTTTGCATCTGCAAAAGAAGTAAATGTTATCTGAATCATCATTATTAGGCCGGTGAGTGTCATATCATACTCACTACACTTTTCAAGTGGCACGTCATTTTTTACCACACCCTACAAAACATGTGGGTGTCATATCTCATTTTAACATATTTTCGTTTTTTTTTTAATTGAATAAAATTTAAACAATTAAAAAAATACTTCATTAATTAAACAAAATACATGCTAAATTTTTAAAAAAAAAAGCGAAACATATTTAAAAAAACATTGAAACATAGTTGAACAAGTCGTCTAATCATCGTCGCTTGACACATCATCAAAATCTTCATCCCAATATCCTTCAAACATTTCCGATTCCTCATCTGTATCATCGAATAAGTCGTCTTCAACAAAATCGTCGACAACGGTTCCCTGCGAGCATTGAAGACGTGTTCCACCAAATCAGCGCGAAGGTTGTGGTGTCCAACCCGGTCGTCTACTTCCCCTCTGTTCGCCATGTATGCCTCCGAACCAATACCAACTCCTTCAACATTTGGTAAATTCTCATTCTCGTAGCGGGTAAATTGCCCTCTCCTCATCTTCTAAAATCATATTATGCAATATGATACATGCGTACATTAAGCTACTTATTCGTTTGTGCTCCATAGATCGTGTCAGTACAGAGAGTATCTGCCAACGCCTCTTTAGGACACCAAATATGTAACGTCCGGTTCCCGGTATGTATTTAATTAAAATTTATTCGTATTTGTATAGAAACTCGACGAGTTGGAGGCCCCAAACTCGTCGAGTAGGGATGGAAATTGGACGCGGGATGGGAAGTCTACTCGACGAGTAGGACTGGCAGAATGAAACCCTAATTATCAGGGTTTTGCACCCTATTTAAACACCTTAACCTCCAAAGGTTGGCCTCATTTGCAGCCTTCATTGTCCCAAACCCTAGCCATGAAACCCTAATGCCTTGTGTGAGCATGTGAGCCATTTTGAGAGAAATCTTGTGTATTTGAAGCTTGTGGAAGAAGGAGAAGCTTGAGGGCCCAAGAAGAAGCTTTTAGATCCAGAAACTTCACTTCATTCTCAGCATTTTCTGGTAAGCAAGTCTCAAACTTGCTTAATGATTACTTAGATCTCTTCATTTTCACTTTATTGGGTTTTTGGTCCAACTAGCATGATCCTTGGGAAATGGACGTCCCAAGTGAGTATACTTTCAGATCTGGAGCCTTGAAGGGCTTTCATGGCATAAAAGTGCAAACTTTATGGCCATTGAAGCCCCATGCAAGCTTTAGGACATCATTTTGGCCTTTTAAGCTCCAAAAGGCCATGCATGGAGAGAAAGTCAGAGACTTTACGTGTTCATGTGGTGTCTAGGGTCTAGATCTCAGTTTGTATGCCTTAGCTTGAAGTAGTAATGGCTTTTGGATCAAGATCTAAGTCTTAAAGAGTTAGGGTTTGAGCTAAATCCATTAAGGAAGGCTATTAACGGGTAAAGTTAGAAAATTTACCCTTAAAATGACATTTCCAGTATGTATATAAAGTATGGAGCTTAGATCTGAAGGATAGGGGGCTTAATCCATTAAGAAAGATTATCAGACTGAAGAACTCGACGAGTTCATAGAGGAACTCGACGAGTTGGGGCGAAGTATCACGATTCTGTAAAAGAATGACTCGACGAGTTCAAGGACGGACTCGACGAGCTAAATTGAGAAGTATCGATTCTATTCATAGTAGGAACTCGACGAGTTCATGAAAGAACTCGACGAGTTGGATCGCGATTTCAGGGTTTTATGATTTATGGAACTCGGCGAGTTGAGTCAACCCATAATGTTGACTTTGACTTGGACTTTGACCAGAGTTGACCCTTAAGGGGTCATGAGTATGAAAGGGTAATTAAGGAAATCTTTTATGTATAGGGGTTTGAGTCGAGTGATATACGGAGCCGGAGTTTTTGCAGCTACTTTTCGATATTCGAGGTGAGTTACCTTCCAGTAGAAGTGGGTCGAAGGCACCAATGTCGGCCCACTAGTAGTTGATTTTAGTTGAGATAATTGTCGTTGTGATAATTGTCTGGTATGCCACTATCTGTTATGCCTTATGTGCTAGTATCTATGATATTATGTGATAGTGGTAGGAGGGGTGAAATAGTCCCCGGTTACCGGTTGAAAGAGACCGAAGGGGTAGGCCAGCACCCAGATATGTCTGACAGTATGTTTATGCTATGTTATTATGTGGTAGTGGTAGGGGTGAAATAGTCCCCGTAATCGGGTGAAATAAATCGGAGGGTAGGTCGGGCACCCAGATATGCCTGATATGGGTAGGACGGGCACCCAAGTATGCCTGACAGGGGTAGGTCGGACACCCCGGTATGTCTGACATGGGTAGGTTGAGCACCCAGGTATGCTCAACAGGGTAGGTCGGGCACCCAGATATGCCTGACAGTATGTTTATTGTATGGTATGTGGTATGATGGGGGAACTCACTAAGCTTCGTGCTTACGGTTTTCAGTTTTGGTTTCAAGTACTTCTTCTTCAAAAGGAAAGGAGTCGGCATGATCGCAACACATCACACCATGATTTCCGCACATGAGATTCTTGGGAGTTATACTCTGATGTTTTTTATCATGACATGTTTTGACTATTGATACTTTGGTTTGGATATGACTTAATACTATGGTTGTTTTCAGACAAATGGTTTTATAATATTTAAATTAAAAATGAAATTTTTGGTCTTAAATTTTGGGATGTTACAAAATACGTGCTCAGATTCTTGTTCCGCCTTAAACTTTAATCGTTTTTCATCATTCATACATATGAATTATTTCACAAATACTGCTGATTCGGGATATATTCCATCAGTAAGGTAATACCCACGCTTGTATGACGTCCCATTTGCTACAAACGGCACATCATACGATTTGCCAAGGTAGATGTTGTTGAATATCGAAGATTGATCTAGAACATTGATGTCGTTGTTGACACCCGATGGACCAAAAAATGCATGCCAAATCCAAAGGTCATACAACCCCACTGCTTCTAAAATTATTATCGGTTGCTTTTGATCACCCCGCGTAAACTGACCATGTCATGCATTAGGGCACATTGCCCACCCCCAATGCATACAATCAATACTACCAAGCATTCCAAGGAATACATGCTTGTTTCCATGTATTGTATATAGTTGATGGATGTCGCTAATTGTAGGCTTACGTAAATAGTGACTGTGATAATCACAGGTTTAGCAAACTTGTATAGATAATCCAGTGTCATGCGCTCTGACATCCTCAGATACTCATCCCATGAGTCTGGTCCCATGCCGAATGCTAGTTGACGAATTGCAGCTATACATTTTTGGATTGTGGAAAAACTTTTTTTACCTCTTCCATCAACCCGCTGCTGGAAATATGGAAAACGATTTCGTATATCATCAACAATGCGTAAAAATAATACCTTGCCCATCCAGAATCGACGCCTGAATTTTTCTGCGGACACTGCATCATCAGAAATGTAGTCGTTCACCAGTTGGTTGTGCCCAACTTCACGACCCCTCCGTAGAGGAGGATTTCTTGTTTTTGGACGCGAACTTTCGCCTTCATTTTCTTCCAAATAAGCAAGTGTTGTACGCATGACGTCCCCGATAAACCCTGCTTCCCGAAACGCCAATGTATCGGATGAAGTGGAGGAAGAAGAAGACATTTTAAAATATAGTTTTTGAAAAATGTAGAGAGAATTTTGTGTTTGTTGGTGATTTAAAATTAAGAATTGAAGTTTAATTTATAGGGAAATTAAAAAAATAAATAAAAAAGAAAATAGCCAACGGCTATTTCCCAACGTTCACATGCGGCAAAACCATAACCCACATCTTCCATACCGCACTTTTTTTACCCTTGGTACGGTGTGTACCGCATACCACAACTTACCGCGGTATGTGATGAATGGTGCACCGTCCAACCTTAGAATGTTTATGAAGAAATCCCAAATTACCATTTGCTCAAATATGTTGCCATATTTATCGAATAATCATTGAAAACACCCCAAAATGTTTGTTAGTTGATGCGACATCGACTCCGACTACCTGCTCTGAGGATGTGCTTCTACGCCGGAGACAGATCTGCGAGGTCACAACAGACAAGGCTGTTAGAGCCGCCCTAGGGACTGTGCCCCAGGAGCGGGCTCCGACGGTCAAGTTAGATCATCTAGTAGATCTGAGACGGTCCTCCATAGCTGGAGAGAACCATCTTGGTGTTGGTAGTGGTGTATGGTGGCTGACGGCGGCGGGTGGCGGCTGAGCCACCCGACCGGAGTATAGTGTGGAGGCTGAGTTATGAGGGAAGTCTAGTGGTGGCTGAGCCATTTGGGGAAGAGTCCCCCGGGAAAGGTCCCCCTTCATGGAGGACGCACTATTCTATTTATAGGGGACAACTAGGTCAAGGGGAATTGAGTCAGGCCTTGGGTCAGCCCAATTCAGGCCCAACTAGAAAGGAGTTGGGCAAGGCCGCCCGGAGGCGCCGGGCGAGGCTGGCGAGCGCGCCCCAGGAAAGGCTGGTGGGCGCACACCAGGAAAGGCTGGCAGGGGAGCGCCGGGCCGGGCCGACAGGAGAGTCCCCAGCACGGCTGACAAGGGAGCGCCAGGAGAGGGAGCGACGGGCTGGGCCGGCAGGAGAGTCCCCAACGCGGCTGGCAAGGGAGCGCCAGGCAAGGCTGGCAAGAGCGCGCCAGGCCAGGCTGGCGCTCTAGATCAGTCTAGGCCATGCTAGTGGACCATATATCATCAAGTCCCCCAGACTGATGTTATTGGTACGCGACCAATGACATTGGACTGGACTTAGTCATATAAACCGTGCGTCGTCATTAGTCTTGTTAAAAAACTACAATAAAACCAAGTTAAAAAAACAAGATAACAATCTATATTGAGGTAGACCAACTCTTGCCTTACTTGATAACTTTGGTGATTAAAATTTGAAAATCAATATAAGTCTACCTATTACATTACTCGGTCGATATATATACAACAACTAACTTGTGTGAAATACCAAAACTGCCCCTTCTAGGTCTAACACAACGATTTAGTTTGTCACTCCTGATTTCTCTTTCACACGTTCATCCATGGCGTCTAAATCCTTTTGTGAAATATTGTCAACTTCTAGATACTCGACATTCTTTGCGTTGCTAGCATTTTTGCACCAATAATAAAACATGTCGAGTTCCTCGTATTGTTTTGACACTCGCCGGAAAATACCGTAGACCTTCACGGAATGTGACACATTGAGATCATCGGTCTCGAATTTGTCTTTCAAGACACCCATGATTTCTACAATGTCTTTATAAAGTTGGAAGCTTTGTATTAAAACCGGGTATAGAGCTAGAAGCACCAACCTTTGAATCCTTGCTCCACCTATCGACCAAGAAAATATAAGTTATCCAACCGGTTGGAATGATATTAAGAATAAAGAAATCAATGAGATTGTATTTGTTACACAGGACAATACGAGACTAGATAAGGTCATTAAGGCCATTTTTGGTTGAGACAAAAAAAAATTCAGCTTGTCATATTGATATCGGTACTGCTCCGGTCCCACCTTTTTGGAAATGACATGACAAGCTTTGTTCAACTATTTTTAACAATGAGGATGAGCGTTTTTACGTTTTTTACTCATATGAGGTATTTTTTGGTGGGACACAATATTGCAATTTTTGTCCTATTGACATGCATCCTAATACAAGTTCCATTTTTTTTAATAGTTCGTCTATTTTTTTGTGATGGGATCATAAGGGTATTTTTGTCTTTTATACAAGTACATATCTCGTCTTTTTGGGTGGAACAATATTGTAGTTTGTGTCCCTGCATATGTCCTAACTTGACAAGCCTTGTAGGGTCAATTTTTGAGACCATTTACGTATTTGGTACAGACAACAAGAACAAGTTCCTTTACATACTATAATTTTTATCTCATAGACATCAGTTATACTTCTAGTCCCACGTTTTTATCTCTAATTGGGTCTATTATTCATAAAAAAAATAACATATAAAAGTATAAAATTCTGAAAATTTAAAATATTTTTGGTAAAAAAAAATGTCAATACAAACAATTTAATATAAAATAGGTGCAAAAGAAAATATATTTTGTAAATATATGATTTTTGGAGGGTTTTTTAGTAATAAATTTGGTTGTACCTATTTCTCAGTGGGTCTATGGACCATATTTTCAAATAGGGTCATGCACCCCACTTAAAAGGGGTTGCTTTTCTACTTATACCGATAGTAAGTCTATATCACATCATTTTAGTGTAATAAAATATCATATTTTTTTGTCCCATTTACATTAGGCCGTCCGGTATATTCTCAACGGAGCCCTTCGTTGTCCAACTTGGCACCAACCACGAACACAAACACCATCCCTGGTGTCCGTTGTTGGCTATGGTCATTGTGGATTGTGGTGGCTACGACGATGAAAAACACCCACTATGAGGCGTTGGCTCTTCTTCTTCTCTCCCACACTTCTTCTTCTCTCTCTTCTTTCTTTCACGCGGGGAGAGTATCGTGATGGTTGTGGTGGTTCACAGAGGGCTAATGGTGGGTGACTTGGAAGCTCTCCACGACCCTGTGGTCGTGGAGAGATAGTCTTAGTCCATTTACATTAATCCAATAGAATTGGAGGTTGTTTTTTTGAGGGAAGGATTAAATTGACATTTATGCCTATTGAATCAAGAAGATAAACTCTTTTTATGATAATGATAAAAGAGCATGTATGTCTTTTTTGTTTCTTATGTGAGAAATGGGCGGGAAAATATAACCTGCAGGGCGGCAAGCGAGAAAGCGGTCAAGTAATTGCATCAAATGATTAACCCGAGCAAAGAGCTGATCCATGGTCATTTCACGAACAGGTACAGTCACAGCTGCAGATAACGTAAGCTCTCCTCCCTCTTGCACATACGAACACGAACCATGTCTTCCGATCCTCCCTTGCATCTCAAACTCAATTTGCTGATCCAGATCATGCGATCGCGATCCATGCTTTCCTTTCCTCCCTTGAATCATGAACTCATGTTGCTCAAGATCTTGCGAGAATTCACGTATTCCTTTCTTCCCTTCCATCTTATACTCAAGTTGTTCATCCAAAAACAAAGCGTACGCTCGAACAAACGCCGCGTAATCCCACGTACTCGATTTCAGAGCATCCCTAAAATCCGACATGTTCAATAGCCGAGTCCCCCGCCGTGTCGCGAAGAACACCTCCTGCTCGTACGCCGGACCACCGTCGTGGAGGAGTCGTTGAACCAACATTAACGTTTTTAAAGCCACGATCCAGTTTCTGGTTTTGCTGAGACGACGAGATATGGTGTTGACGCATGATGCGACGTAGAGAGGCGAATCGGTTGTTAGGGTTAAGATTTCGACCATGAGATGCTCATCGGGGGGGTTTTCGTCGTGCGATGTGGCCTTGAGGATTGCGACATCGAGATCGGCTAATGACGCTTTGTGACCGTGTTTGGCTAGCCGGATACTGGTTTGATCCTTCACTGCTTTGATTGCTTTACCGAATCTACCCATCGATTTCTGATTAATTAACCTGAAATTTCAAAAAAATTAAGATATCAACAAGATGATCATCATCAATGGCAATGCACAGAGAATACATACTTTTTTTACCTTTTGCAATTTTGACCCAAGAATGAAGAAGGGGTCAAGATTTTGACTTTCTTGTTGTCAACAGCATGGGAGAATAAGAAAGGGAAAGAAGATTTGTTGTTGTGTGGAGATTGTTTTATGTCTTCTTTCTCCCTTTCTTCTTTCTTTCTTATTTTTTTTTTCTTTCTTTCACTCTTTTCCTATACTATTTTCCCCTTAATTGATTCGGGTTTTGGTAATTAGATGCCATACATCTTTCAACATTTTAGCAATTGAATGGGGAAATATAGTGGAAGTTAAGGACCCAAGTGGCATCTCTTTCTTCGCATCTTTCTCTCTCTTTCTATATATAGAAATACGCAATTTTACACAAACACAAAGTTATTTTACATTCTTCATCTTTCTTATATGGGTAAATTACACCAATCGTCCCTCGTGCACATGCCAAAAAGCGTGTTTAGTCCCTATTTTCAAAAATTAACTCGGACCGTCCCTGGTTTGTTTTTTTCTTGCATGCTTAGTCCCTATTGACATGAAATGATCATTTTACCCTTAATAATTTCTTTTTTCATTTCTTTTATTTATTTATCAATTTTAAATTAAAAAAAAAACAAAATAATCTCTCAAGAAATCAATACTCCACGACTCCAAATCCTCTTCAAGACCTTAAACCAAGAAATCGATACATCCACAACCAAAACAATCTCTCAAAAAATTGATACATCATCGGCGATCATTCGTATCTCAAACCAACAAAAAATTTCCACCGGTGAATCCCAGGAGCCCGTTTCTACCCCTGCAATATGTGATTTTATAAATGTCACATAAATCGCCCGATCTGGACTCTCCAGTCGCCATCCATGGTTTGAACTCGTCGATTGCTCAAGAACGACGACGACCACCAATGTATGACTTAGATTTCGACTTCAATTTCTGGAACCATCCCACCCCTTTCCTCCACACAGATCCGGCGAGACCCCAAGCCTACAAATCGGAAAAATCAAACCTCAAAGATCAAACCCTAAACCTGCAAATTGGAACTAACGAGTTACAAGAGAAGAAAGAGAATTTTGATTGACGGAATCAGATTGAGGAACGTGATGTCCACCGTCACCAGATCAAGGAGGATTTCGTCCACCACCACTTCATCTTCCTCATAGATGGTGTAAGTCGGCGGGGGCTAATTTACCTTGTGATGTAGGTTATAGCTTCATTGAGGATTCAATTTGTTGTCTGATGGCTTCTTCAAGTCAACGTGAAGGAGAATCGAGGTTCTTCAGGTCAATGTGATGGCTTCTTGTGTGTGTGTGTGTTTTGTATTGAAGAAGAATGGAGAGAGAGAGAGAGAGAGAGAGAGATAGAGAGAGAGAGAGAGACTACATCGAAGGTGGTGGTGGTATTTTCATGCGTATGAGAGAGATAGATATTAGAGAGTTGTTTTTTTATTATTTATAATAAATAATATTAAAATAACTAAAAATAAATATCCAAGGGCATAATGGTCATTTCAAATGTGGAGTGGACTAAATTCGCAACAAAAACACATATAAGGGACGAAGTTAGCAAGTTTTAAGCAAACGAGGGACGATCGGAGTTAATTTTTGAAAATAGAGACTAAACACGTTTTCTGGCATGTGCACGAGGGACGATTGGTGTAATTTACCCTTCTTATATCATTGTCAGCCCTTATTACTTGATTCCTTTTTCCGAATCTTCCGTTAACAGTATATACTGAAAGTTTGCTTTAAATTTCAAATTTAATTTTGTTAGATGATCCCGCTTATCTACTATAATAAATGAAGATAATTTTGCTACATGTCAATCTCTAATTAGTTTTGTCACTTGTCATTTTGTGATATTTTTTAAATAAATAATATTCACATATCAATTTATGGTTTTTTTCAAATTTTAAAATTAAAAAGTTATATAATACTTATATTTATATATGTAAACTATTAAATGTAATAAATATTATACTAAATTGTAATTATATGTTTCTTATTTCAAAATTTCATTCCTTATTTCAAAATTTTATTTTAAAAAATACTTATTATTTACATTTCAATATTTTATTTTTTTAATCAACCCGTGTAATACACGGGTCTTATACCTAGTTAATTAATATATATATATTAATGGGCTATATTATAGAGCCAAACATGTACAAAAGACATATGTCAATTTATATACATGGCGTGTTCGGCAAAATTAGCTGGTAACGGGTAGCTTGTAGCGTTTTGTTAAACGCTACATGAAATAGCATTTGGATTTGGAGCGTTTTGTTTAAACTAAACGTTTGAAGCTTGTAGTGTCGAACGAGACTTTCTGTTCAAAACGGAGCGTTTTGTCAAACGCTAGAAGCTCTCAAACGCTCCCAAATGCTCCGTGCCGAACACGTCCATAGACTAACATCCTCAATACTTTTAATGAGAGGAACAGTCTCACTTTTATCGGGAGGAATGGTCTAAGCGTTTAAACTAGACTAAAAATTCATGTCAACTTATTTAAAACTGAAGGGAACATGTAACACTCAAAACCTGGGTGTCGGATCATTTTGTCAAGGATAAAGTGGATGTGAATCTCAATATTCTTAGTATGTTGATGTTGAAATCAGATGGTAGAAAGATAGACTATGCAGTATGCACACATTAATAATAATACTGGCTTTGATTGATGCATGTCTCAACATACATGATACATTCGTGCATTTGGTGTGCGGTTTTCGTTAACACATAATAATTTAAATGAATTACATCACATATTAGGTAAACTAAAATGATAGGGTAAATTATACCAATCGTCCTTCATGCAGGTGCCAGAAAACACATTCAATCCATATTTTCAAAAATTAACTCGGACCGTCTTTCATTTGGTTAAAAGTTGCACGCTTCATCCCTCTAAACATAGAAAGACCATTTTGCCATTATTTATTTCTTTTTTGATTTATTTTTCTGTTTGTTTATAATTATTAATTATTTATTGATTTGTTTATTAAAAAAAACTTTTAAAAAGAAATAGGGGCCCTAAGCAGACGTTCATAACCCGTCCCCCTCTTTCTTCTTCAACACACCTCCTATCCACCATCACTACCCACAGTGGTGACACCTTCGGCCGACTTCAATACTCTGGTAACATCTCTGGCCGACTCAACCAAACCACCCCTTCCCTTTCCTTTCTTCTTCTTTGAATTTGATCGGTCATCATCGCCTCTCTCTCTCTCTCTCTCTCTCTCTCTCTCCACTTATCACCGCCATCACCTCTTGTAACCACCACCGGTCATCATTCAAATCTTAAAAAACGAACCCTAAACTTGTAAATCGGAGAAGATGAAGATTCAAATCGGAGAAGCAAGCTCAGGTTAAACCCAAATCTTCTCCATCGACGACGGAGACAGAGAGGGGATCACATTCCATGCGGTGTTTGAGATGGTTTTCAGGGCTTGATTTTGTGGTAGTTCTAGGCGGTTTTGGTGAATGTGAGGTTCAGAAATGGTTGTTGGCATTCAGTAGTATGTTTAATTGTTAGGTGGTGGCATTTGAAGGCAATGATTTTCGAGGGTGGTAGCAGCAACGGTTGCTGTTTTTGGTGATGTAGAGGTTAGAAACAGGTGGTGTAGAGGTTGGGTTCCATGATGGGCGACTGGTCGGTGAAGTGGTTCATGGTGAAGGCGGTGTTTAGGAAAAAAATGGTTGATGGTTCTGTGAATAGTGGAGGCTACAAACAAAAAAAAGTGCTCGATTTTTGAGTTTAAGGGGTGTGCTCCGGTGGTGGTTGGCCAGAAGTGGTGGATCGGTGGTTTTTCAAGAGTTAACAAAAGAGGGAGGAAGAGAGATGAGCAAAAAGAAGGTTGGGGTAGGGTGGTAGGGATGTTGAGGTTTTTTTCTTTTATTTTTTAAATTAATAATAATTATTATAACATTTAAATTAATTGGAAAAAAAATACAAAAGGGTATAAAAGTCATTTTATGACTCGTAAGGGATGAAGCTTGCAAATTTAAACTTATGAGGGATGGAGCATGCAACTTTTAACCAAACGACGGTCCGAGTTAATTTTTGAAAATAGAGACTAAATGTGTTTTCTAGCACCTACACGAAAGACGATTGGTGTAATTTATCCAAAATGATACTATCAAATCTCCCGACTTATCTTTTTCTCATCTGGAGAAAAACTCAACAAAGTCACCAACTTTCGTCATTTTTCTTAAACCTCATTTACTTTGACAATGAATACAATCTATTTTTCAAACATGTATCTAAAACTTCCTAAAAAGTAAGCTCGCCATTGTCGTTGTTCAGGGTCTCCCAAAGAATCCTCAAGTTTGTGCGATTAGCATTTTTACCCTTACCCTTACACAGTTACTATTTTACATTTTTATAATGTTTGATCATGAAAGAGTGAGGGGTTGGATTGTGAGCAATTTTTTGCTTTTGAAACATTGTGTGATTTTGTTATTTGATGATACTCTCATTCTTTGAGGTCGAGACTTCAAATCTCGTCGTGGACATAGGCACCGGCGGATCCAATGTATATGAAGTGGGGTGTATGGCCCCACTTTGATGTGGGCCTCACCATATGTGTGTGTGTATATATATATATATATATATATATATATATATATATATATATATATATATATATATATATATATATCAAGGTTCTACATAACGTGAGGCGTGGCTTGGTGGCAAGCTAAAAGTTAAGTCATGACAAGCCTTGGCGAGCCATGGCGTTTTTCAAGGCGTGACTATTTTATATATATTAAAAGAGATAAATCATGTTATTATTGATTTTTATCAAGTATATCAAGTTTTTAGAAGTGTTATATTAGAACCATGATATATATATATATATATATATATATATATATATATATATATAATTTTTCTTTTTCTTTTTTGTTAAACATTATCCCCCATTATATGACAATGACAGTTGATCCCCATATATTTTTTTTGAAAGTAATGATTTATTTCTCTCCTGAAGCGGATGTACTTGGGCAATGAGAGTGCTGTTGCATCCTTTTGATTATTATATAACCTTCTGGTATACCAACGGCGAAGAGGCTCGTGGTCTACATGGTCATGAGCGTTGTCTATGCACACCACCCCGGCCTATCGTGGTCGGGTGTTTTTGTGGTGGTTTGTGGTAGGGAGGATGCAAGACAATGACCAATGAGAACGAGTCTCTCTCAGCATTCTGCTTCTTCTTCTCTCTTCGTTCTTCTCTTTGTGGTTGTGATGGGTATACCAAAGTTGGTTTGTGGTTCGTGATGGCGAGGTGGAGATAGAGGTGGTTTGTGGTCCATGACAAGTATTGCAGATGACCTTAGGCCATCCACAATACCCACCACTATAGTGGTAGACCACTATAGAGGTGCGTGCCAATTCATCACCACATTCAACCATTAAAAGGTTGGGATACCTACCACTATATCTCTTTTATTTTTTTATTATTAAAATAAAAAAATATATTGTTTTTAATTAATAAAAATGTAGAGAGAGGTAGCAAGAGATATAGAGAGAAATAGAAATAAAAAGAAGATGATTGGGTGTGGTGGTTCATTCTCTTCACCACAAATTACTACGAAAATGTCTCATCACTAACCACCACTAACATCTGGGATGGTGTTTACATTTGTGGTTAGTGACCATGTATACCACAAAACCTCTTGATGACCATTCCAGATGGTCTTATTAAATGTTAAAAACCATTCCAGATGGTCTTATTAAATGTTAAATTCTTATGCTACCTAATCTCCAACGATTTTTTCTATTATGAGCATGTTAAATTGTCCATATAAAAAAAATTGTCAAACTTCGTTGCTTTCATGAACCATTTTGATTCACATTGGACAAACCACAAAAATAGCCAAATTTTTATGGCTCTGGCTCAACTCATACCAAAAAACAATTTCGTAAAATAATAATATCCAAAACTTATGCATAGCTACATATAACATAACAAACCTAACAAATAACAAAAGTTACAAACCAACATCACCTCATAATCCTACACATATTTCCCCCTATATTTCTTCTTGGGATCCTTCCCACTTTTACTATCCAACTCATCAAATCCCACAAAATCCGGATCAAAAACCGCAGAATGAAGATTCCCTTCCTCCATCCACTTCACATGATTCTCCCTAAACTCCAAATGCTGCACCCTCGCAGCCTCTTCAATCTCATCAGTATACGCTCCAATCTTCACCATTGTCAATAATACCCTGCTATACCGATAACTCAAAATCTGTTCACAGCTTGCAACCAACTTAAAACAAGGGTGTTTTGGGAAATCAACATCCAAGGTATCGTTGTTGTCTCTTAGAACTGGATAGAAGTACACGAGCCTGCCACCTGTCACGAGCATTTTCGCCGCTAGGTCAAGGAGGTCGTGGACGCATTCCGCTAAGCTGTAGGCGGCAGTTGATGGGATGTGGCCGGATCTTAAGTTGTCTGGTACGGTGTAGGGGTCCACTGCCCCTTTTAGAAGCTTCCGGCCACCGGATTTTCTGCCGCCCGCCCGGACCCCGTATGGTGGATCACAGATGATCGCATCAAAGATCTAATGGAAGAAAGGATTGAATGTATGATATTGGACATTTATAAAACTAAAAAAAAAAAAAAAAAAAAAAAAAAAGAGCTGATGGCATTTCTGTAATAAAAGACATTGTTATTGTTACCTCTTTTAACCCAGGTCGCCAAGGAGGAAGGTTATTATCTGCTCTCAACAGCGAAACTGGCATTTGCAATCCATACTGTTAAATCAAATATCATCACCAAATTCAAAATTGTTAACATTATATTTTTTTAATTGGTAATAAGGAAAAATTATATAAGCTAAGAAATTTAATTTTACCTGTTTAAAGTTACTCCAGACATTGCAATCTGGGCCACGCCCATCACGCACGACCCGAATATCAATATCTGCTCCCTGAATGTTTTAAATTAGAAAAAAAAAAAACATTTTAATGCAAAAAGTTTCGATCAAAATTCACACACCATTGTCATGGCTCCAAAATGAGCTGCAGCAACAAGAATGCTTCCAGTACCAACAAAGGGATCATAAACAAGCTTCCCAGGCATGGCTTGTGCTTGATTAGCCATCAAAAAAGCTACTTCAGCATCCATGGCAGTGGGCCCAAGATAAGTACGGCTTTTCAATTGATATGTAGGCAAAAGCTTCCTATCAGCAGCACCAACTTCTCGCCCAAAAAAGATTCTTTTGTCAACAATTGGTGGAAGCCCATTGTTAGATTCGTAATCATCGGTTTCAATTAGCCAAAATTTATGCTCTGGGTTACGTAAATCAACTCGACCCTGGAAATTTGATCCTTTCAGTTTCTGATATGAAAGAAGAAAGATATGAAAAGGTGAATACCTTAAAGGGGATGTAGGACATTCCCTGAATGCGAGATGTTTGATCCTTGAAGGTTATGGCTTTTCCGAAGCTATCTACTATGATCCTAAAAGTGCTATCTGAAGTTAGGTATGGTAGCTTTCGATCTTCTGGATAACTGTTTATCGCTTCTTTGAGTTCTTCATATGAAGATCCCTCTCCCCAAATCTCATAAACTCCTTTCACAAGAATACCTGCATATAATCCAAATTGAAATTAGAGCTTCGGTAAAGACAAATGAATGATAAATTATAGAAAAGTGAAGAGTACAAACTTCGATTGGCAATGTTGCGGGCGATATCCTCAGAAGGAAGATTAACGGAGTGGAAAGGAGAATCGGGATGGTGATGCTGAGGTAGCTTCCATTCAAGTGAATGTGAACTGCTTGGATCATCGTCGAATGCACCAAAGAGATCAGCTAGAGATTCGAATTCGGGTTTCCTGTAGTCTAATAATCTGTGGTAAAAGACACAGAGATACCACATTCTTTTGCTGCTTTTTTTCTTGATTTTCTCTCCTGTGTGATTGTTTGTAGAAAAAATTGACGATGATGGAGAGAGTGGTGAAAAAGTAGCAGAAACCCTAAAATGGAAGAGTTGGAGGCGGAGAAGGGAGGGAACGCTGTCCTCACGAATCAAAGGGTTTATGTGCGCAGTCCGTTAAACCCCAAAAAAGGTTTACAGTTTATTTATTTATTTATAAAACTGTTAAATTTAATTTAAAGTATAATATATACATTAAATTTTGTTTCACAAATTTTGTAAAATTAATAAAACAAGTTAGGGGTGATCATCAAAACAAGATACTCGTCCTATGAATCGGAACCGGTCCTTGCAATTTTGGAATTGGAATTGATGTCTATGTGATTGTCGGATGGTTTCGGTCTCAAAAATTAAGAATAGATTGTTATTTTGTAATCCAAAACTAGTCTGAAATCCAAAATGATAATTTGGTTTTGTTCAAAACCAATCCAAATATCAAAATATCCAAACCAAATGGTCTGATCCAAATTATGCGGTTGTCCAATTTGTTTTATCTAAATAGTGAACAACTCTAGTTTCAAGTCGTATCATTCATGTTGACCATAAAATGATCATGATATTCACCACTCACCTGAAATTTCCAATTACCATTATAATTACAAGTGCAACCATTACCATCATCTTTGATTTGTTCCACAAAACTCTAGGTTGTTGGTGTAACAAAACCTTGATTTGATTCAATCAACCTCTGTATTATGACTTCTTTTTCATTACACATTCCGTAATAAACTCCAAATATTGAATAACTGGCTTATCCCTACTATCTATAATCTTGGAATTCAATACTTCACACAAATTGTTTAACATGATATTCGATTTTTGCTTTACATGATAAGGAAACTAAGGTTAATAAATTCAACCTTTATTATATACAACCATTTTCAAAGAATATTTTGAAAAGAAAATACCATAGAAATTTCTCCTAGTCTAGTGATTGGCATGTATTAGTTTGAACCATTCATAAGTTTGATTGTTGAACTTTTTCAACTAATCTCCAAAAAGGGTAGTGTTATGACAGTGTCACATCCCCAAAAAGCATCTTTTAGGTGTTTTCCTTTCCACCTCACCTTTATATTTTCATGAACATGTCTTGTAGAAAATCTATGCTCAATACTAGGAAACACTTTGACTTATGTTAAAATTAAACCATGCAATAAAGTAAACAAAACATTTATAAATAAACTACTAATCATATTAATAGCAAGAAATCCATGTTCACCTCCACGTCTTCTAGATAATCCAACTCCCCTAGTTGAAAGTCACTTACTGAACTACTATCATAATTCTTACTCTCATTACTAGTTTATCATATGTTGTATCTCCTCCCAAGTTCTACTCAACATTGATTACATAACTAGATTGAAATGTTAACTTAGTAGTCCTCTCAGGGCTACCCTCATATGGTATTCTATTATCTCCCAAATCAAATAAAGGATCATAGAAGTCAGTTCATCTTGATCAAACATTGGGACATGGTTATGGTTATGATATATGTCATAATAAAAAACAAGGGTATAATGTGAGTCATGTGGTAACCCTTGTTCACCATTTACTCCTTGTTCCAAAATAGGGGCATTTACAGAATCTTGAGGCATATATTGACCATTAACTACTTCCTCAACCAAAACAATCATAAAAAACTATTAGGTCCTTTATATAGTATGGTACTATAAAGCTTGGGTGATAAACATGTTCATCCACATTTATCATTTGAGAAGTGTCAAGTGACATGTTAAGATCAAAGTCAAGTTTCATACTACTTTCCGCAATGGTTTTTTGTTAGTATTCTATTCTGGGGAATGGTTATCCTCAATTTCATGGATTACAACTTTAACATGTGACATAAAGTGTAACACTCAGTTTTGGATTGGCTTCATTATTCGGGGTTGCGGATGTCATACCCCCGGACCAGACGGCGGAAACGTCTGGAGGCGGGTGACTTCATTATGCAGTATCATAACAATTGAATATAAATGAAACAGAGCAATCCAAACATCATACATTGAGATAACAAACTTACATTGTTTACATATTGTATTTGTCCTTCGAATTACACAAAAGAGACATAAACAGAAAAATCCAAACTACGGCTAAATAGTCTTGCATCTGCGTCCCTTGTTACATGCTTACTAGATCCCTGAGAATACAAGTCGTTTTGAAAAGCGTCAACTAAAAAGTTGGTGAGTTCATAAGCATTTTTGTATAAAATCGTTTACACTTGTTTAGAATCGTTCTCATTGTACTTTCAGAAAATCCGATATTTTCTATGAAATCATTTGAAGCTTTGCTTTGAAAATCATGGATATATGTGTGCATGTCGTTACTTTTGTTCATCCTTATAAAGAATAATTTTGAAAAGTAGTGGAATTTATAAAGGCGAGCTGTATCCGAGAATAGTTCTTTTGTATAGTAATAGTCAATCGTTTCCAGAAAAATCCCTTATTTTCAAAAAGAGAATTTGGTTGAAAATCTTGTTCCTCTTATCGAGTAAAATTGAGTGTGTGTTCTAGTTTATCGTTATCGAAATCGTAGAAAATCGTTTTCTCCAAAAAATCCTATATTTCCTGCTATAAAATATTCGTAAGTTCTATTTCCAACTGTGTATATGTGTGGGTTAGTTAATCGTTTACAAACGTTTTCCATAGAGTCCTACGCTTTTTAATTTGTAAAATAGCCGTATTTAGACTCTATACTTGTTAGGAGAAAGAATCAACATGGCAATTGTGGACATTCTACGTGATGAAAAAGGACAGTCGACGCAACAAATGCGAACCATCACCTATCATGTGTAGGACAGTCAACACAACGTGCCAAAATTTATTTATGAGGTTTTTCCATGCATAAATTTCTAGATAACATAACATATTCTAGTGAGTCGTTATAACCATACTAATCTGACGGAGTGCCTGTTTTGGCATTTCTCAGGCGCCCTCAGTTTGGAAAAGACATTTGTCACCCTATACTGGCATGTCTAGCTGTAGCGAACAGCGAAGGTGCGGGGTGCCAACCCCGTATAGATCTATACACAAATTCCCGCTCTCCCTCCAGGAGACTCTGGCTATAACTCCTTACAGGACTTTAGACGTACACTAATATATTTATATTTAGGTACTTTTGAGATTTGTCTGACTATAATATTAACAACCTTTTGAGCAATCGTTAGAGATCCATTATTTGTTAAATAAATAATGAAATTCGTGATCATTGAATAGAAATATCGTTCTCGTTCCATATCGTTGATTGTGCTCGTTAACTGGGTGCTCGTGTTCATTCCTTTTCGTTTATTGAACAATAAGCCATTTTAGTCAAGAGAAAAAGTGTCAAGTTATAATTTGTATAAATTTATAACTGCCGGTTATGACACACATTTTCTGTTTTATGACATATAAAACATTACTTATGTTCTTGGAGGTTTTACGACAGCAGTTTATGACATGCAAATATTTTTGTCATGAAAACTCTGTTTTCGTATATTTGCTTTGATAAAATTATTTATATCAAATATTTATAAATAATCACAAATAGTTTGTTAATCTAGTAAAAAGTCATGAATATGACATAACATTCCAAGGTAACCCTTGTATTTATGTTTGGCCAAAAATGATCTAAAATATTAATATTTCCATACTTTAATCATTTTCCAAAATATTTTGTCCAACAACTTGTTTAGGAAAATATTAAAATAAATCCTTATAGTTGTTGTTAAAAATTTCGTGACTTATACTTGGTAACATACTAGTTCTTGATTCCAAACGTGATTTGTGAGTTATAATCCAAACTCTTGAGACTTAACCAAAATCTCGAGTTTTTGGACCATTTACAAGAGTTTTCATACTTAAGCACATGTAAGATGGCATGCATACACAATAAGCAAATAAATCATGATTTATACAAGACTTTGACTTGTATTCTCCCCCAAAAACAATAGGAATCTCAAAAAAGTAGGGGTATGAAGCTCACCTTGAGTTGGTTGATGAGTTGTTTGGAGAAGTGTTAAGGAGCTTCCAAGTTCCAACACTTGAAAAGTTTCTTTGAACTTTAGAATATCCTAAGAATATTAACACATACTTCATGTGTAACCATGAGGAATTTAAACAAGATAATATGGAGAAATACTACCCAAGGCTCGAAATACTTACAAGGATTTAGGAAATTACTTGAAGAAAATGAGACTTGGAGTTTGCATATGTTACAGAGTAGTTTGAGACTCCATAGGATGTGAATTGAGTTTTTGGTGGAAAAATGAAGAATGGGTTTTGCTCCCAAAGGGATAAGGGAGTAAGGAGATGTGCTTGGTTATCTGTTAGTTAAAACATTGATATTTGGTGGGTACTTCATGGGTTACTGTGAGTTGCATGGAAAAATGGGAATTTACATCACATCCCAAGGTCAAACATTTTTGTCCTTATCTTGATTTTAGGATATGATCCTTATAAATCCTAAATTTTATTTTATGTAAATATGATTTAAATAATCAAATTTGGCATAAAATAGAGGTTTTAGGGGTCTAAGTTACGAAAAATACGAGTTTGGTGTGATTCCCGACGTCAAAATGCCTCAAAATGAAGAAAAAACTCCGAAAATGACAAAAATCCAGAGTGTAGCATGGCTCCTGCGAGGGTCCGAAGGGCTGAGGGAAGTTCCGGAGCCACTCTTCAAGGTTCCGGAGGTACTGGGCGAGTTCCGAAGTCAGGTGATAATTTCCAGAGCATCTCCCTCGGATCCGGAGTCAGGCATGGGTTCGGTTGTCCGGACTGCTGTGCGAAGCTGTCTAGCATTTCCGAAGCAAACCCTAAGCGAGGTCTTCCGGAGCGAGGCTTTTTCCGGAGTCACTCTTCCGTACTTGCGAGATTGTCCGAAGCAAGAGGAGTTCCGGAGTGAGGCTTTTTCCGGAGTCACTCTTCCGGACTTGCGAGATTGTCCGAAGCAAGAGGAGTTCCGGATTGACTAGGGTATTCCGGCCAAGAGGGTTCTGGACCAAGAGGGTTCCGGCCAAGAGGTTCAGGACCAAGAGGGTTCCGAACTAAGAAGGTTCCGGACCAAGAGGTCCATGACCAAGAGGGTTCCGGACCAAGAGGGTCCTTTGGGGTTTTCTCCTCCGGTTTTGGGTTGTTTTCG